AGGCTGGAGTGCAGTGGTGCAATCTTGGCTTACTGCAATCTCTGCCTCCTGGGTTCAAGCAATTCTCCTGCCTCAGCCTCCCAAGTAGCTGGGACTACAGGCACACGCCACCATGCCCAGCTAATTTTTGTATTTTTTTAGTAGAGACGGGGTTTCACCATGTTGGCCAGGATGGTCTCGATCTCTTGACCTCATGATCCGCCCGCCTCCGCCTCCCAAAATGTTGGGAATACAGGTGTGAGCCACCATGCCCGACTGAATCTATCAATTTAAAAAATACTATTTTGAAATAATACTTATTATCTTTAAAAGCTAGAAGAGTAAGGAAAATAAATTTTTAATTCAGAGTACAGTATCCACATTAGGCTAAAATGAATGTCAGTTTTCTGCTCATATCTGACATTTTCTGTGTTCTTTTATCAAAATAAACGTGTAAGTCCCATACCTTATTATATAAATCTTCAACTTCTTAATCAAATAAATATGACAAATGATGTTCTCTAAGAAAAACGCCCTTCAATTTTATTCCTAAAACAGAAAACATTCAGAAAAAAAATCATTGTGCAGAAACACATCATATATATAAGCCTTATCATTTTCTTTTCCTGTTATGTCCTCATCCACATACATTAATCACAACAAATCATGATGTGAACAGCAGTGGAAAAAGTTTAATCATTGGACATTTATTTCTTCTTATTTTGAACTTCAGCTCTAGTAATAAGATTCTCATTGCTTAGCCCTTTACAACAGATGCATATATTTATCTAATGCAGAAAAGTTAAGACCTCCAATTTTACTGTAATTGGAAAAAAAATTCAGAACAAAGATATGTCAAGTGTATCACTTTATCGACTTTGTTAACCTGCTATAACCTGACAAAAGGGTAGGTGTTCAACAAGTGAGCTACAACCCTAAAAAGCAAGAAGTCTATATCTGCTTTCATAGGGTTATTAGGAGAAATAAATACTGTTTAAGAAAACCAATTTTTTTTTTTTTTTCTTTTTGAGATGGAGTCTCGCTCTGTTGCCCAGGCTAGAGTGCAATGGTGCGATCTTGGCTCACTGCAACCTCCACCTCTCAGGTTCAAATGACTCTCCTGCCTCAGCCTCCTGAGTAGCTGCGATTACAGGCATGCACCACCATGCCCGGCTAATTTTTGTATTTTTAGTAGAGACGGGGTTTCACCATGTTGGTCAGGCTGGTCTTGAACTCCTGACCTTATGATCCACCTGCCTCCGCCTCCTAAGGTGTTGAGATTACAGGCGTGAGCAACCGTACCTGGCCTCTTTTTTTTTGAGACGAAGTCTTGCTCTGTTACCCAGGCTGGAGTACAGTGGCCCATCTTGGCTCACTGCAACTTCTGCCTCCTGGGTTCAATGATTCTCCTGCCTTGGCCTCCCAAGTAGTTGGGGTTACAGGCACACGCCACCACGCCCAGCGAATTTTTTAATTTTTAGTAGAGATGAGGTTTCACCATGTTGGCCAGGCTGGTCTCAAACTCCTGAACTCAGGTGATCCACCCACCTCAGCCTCCCAAAGTGCTGGAATTACAGGTGTGAGCTACCACGCCTGACCATGAAAACCAGCTCTTTCTATATACTACATATAAAAAGCTTAGCAGCCTGAGCAACAAGGCAAAACCCCATCTCTACCAAAAATACAAAAAAATTAGCCAGGTGTGGTGGCACATGCTTGCAGTCCCAGCTACTTAGAGGAGCTGACTGGAACTACAGTACAGCTAGAAATTAAGTATCTACTCATAAAATTTTATTTGGGGTGGTACTAACTTGGAAAGTTGAACTTTCTAAGAATTTTTCAAAGAATATTGTCCAATTTCTTCTGTGCAGTTATAAAACTATTTGCCATAGGATGAAATAAAGAAAGGTACAGATAAACAGAATCATTGAAGGAGTTTGACCTTTTTCCCCAAAGCTTGATTTTTATCCAATACGATGAATATATTTTTACTAAATACTTGCTTCTCTTTTCCTTCTGATGCTTCCACCTCTACCTCCCATAGACTTCTGCTCCTCATCAGCTAAATATAGACCTTGTCAAGCAATCAGACTGTTCCTAATTGGCAGAATACTAATTAGTGCCTGAGATTTATAATCTTTTGAGTCTTCTTGTTTTCTTTTCATCACATCTTAAATGTTCTGTTTGAAAAAAAAAACACTCCCCCCTTTCCTTTAAGTCTTAGCACTGCTTCTGATAGTTGGAAACCACTTGTCTAATAACAGAAGCATTACATATAAAACAAAGTATAACTAGTTTTGGAGTATATTAGGGTAGTTGCCCTCCATATCAGGTTTGATGCTGAGAAGACATTCCCAAGTTCGCATGAGATTCTGGAAGTAAAAATCATTATGTAACAAATAATGATATAACAATAATTTCAAAACTCCATGGCTTTCTGAAACGAAAGACAGAACTCAAACAATGAAAAATTCAGCAAGACAAAAGGGTAGGTGCTCAACAAGTGAGATACCAACCCTAGAAAGCAAAGAGTCTGTATCTGCTTTCATAGAGTTATGAGAAATAAATATTGTTTAAGAAAACCAACTCTTTCTACACACTATATATATAAAGCTTAGCAGCCTGGGCAACATGGCAAAACCCCATCTCTACCAAAAACACAAAAAAAATAGCCACGTGTGGTGGCACACACCTGGGGTCCCAGCTACTTAGGAGGCTGAGGTAGGAAGATTGCTTGAGCTTGGAAGACAGAGGTTGCAGTGAGCTGAGATTGCACCACTGCACTCCAGCCTGGGTGACAGACTGAGACCCCATTTCAAAAACATAAAATAAAAAAATAAAAAGCTCAGCATTGGCCGGGCGTGGTTGCTCATGCCTGTAATCCCAGCACTTTGGGAGGCCAAGGTGGGTGGATCACTGGAGGTCAGGAGTTCGAGACCAGCCTGGCCCACAGTAACTGGTCAATAAATAAATATTAGTTGTTGTTATTCTTTCCAAGTGGCCAATTAATGAGATTCGACACCATAAAATGGGAAATTAGGTTTTATCAAAGCCTTTATAAATGTTTTCCACTTGGACAATCCTCCATTTCCAACTCACTGCTATAGTTCCACTTAATATATTTAAAATAGAAAGATATACTACCTTCCCTGCATATTTTGAATAATTATCTTCCAAGACCTGTGTATCTTTTCCCGTCACCTCTGAGGGTACAATTCCTGAAAAGAGATATTTTTTTCAGTTTTTTTTTTGTGCAAGAGTCAATGCCTTTGCAAATAACACTATCTTTAATACAGCTTACATATCCTCATTGGAGTATTTAATAATCACAGCGGTTCATTATGTGAACAGCAGTGAAAAGGTTTAATCACTGGATATGAAGTTACTAGAAGCAGCAACAATATAACCAAATGACCAAATTGAGAACTTCTATGTCAGCAGTAAAATTAAAAATCACAATGACAACAAAAAAGCATATAAAAGTTATAAACAAATGTAAAGATACAAAAATACAACTAAGAAAAAAAAGATTCTATCTATAAAGGATTACTTATTTCCTATCCAGAAGTAACAATCTAGAGCAGTGACCCCTTTTGACTATTGTAAATTAGTTGCCTTACTTTAAGTAAATTTGTTCTGATAAAAGCAGTTTTCAGAAACTCATTTGAAATTAAGAATTAAAGCAATGTTGTCAAAATAATATGAGAAACACACTGTTTCATCTTTTCATCTTTAAGAAAGGCACACAGTTGCAATCCAATTAAACAGGAAAGAAAACAGCCCTCATTTCAGATGCTGAACTGGCAGCAGTCCTTTCTTTTCTTTCTTTTTTTGAGAAGGAGTTTTGCTTTTTGGAAGGAGTTTTGTTGTCCAGGCTGGAACGCAATGGGGCAATTTCGGCTCACCGAAACCTCCACCTCCCAGGTTCAAGCAATTCTCCTGCCTCAGCCTCCGGAGTAGCTAGGATTACAGGCATGCACCACCATGTCCGGCTACCCTTGTATTTTTAGTAGAGATGGGGTTTCGCCATGTTGGTCAGGCTGGTCTCGAACTCCCAATCTCAGGTGATCCACCCACCTCGGCCTCCCAAAGTGCTGGATTACAGACATGAGCCACTGCACCTTGCTGGCAGCAGTACTTTCAACTCTACCTTAAAAAAAATGGCAAGTGAATGCCTCTGTCTGCAAACTTTTGAGTCCTTAAAAAAAGGCAAACACCACAATGAGACAACCACTTCACACCCACAAAAATGTGGAGAAACTGGCAGCCTCATCCTCTGCTGGTGGGAATGTAAAATGGTGCAGCCACTTGGGAAAATAGTCTGGCAGTTCCTCAAGTTAAACACAATTATCTTATGACTCACCAATTCTACTCTTAGGTGTGGAAAATGAAAACATTTGTCCACGCAAAAACTTGTACACAAATGTTCAAAATAGTCAAAAAAATTGGAAACAATGTAAATATCCACCAACTGATGAATGGATAAACAAAATCTGCTATATCCATACAATGGAATATGATTCAGCAATAAAAAATAAAGTACCAGGCCTGGTTCGGTGGCAAACGCCTGTAATCCCAGCACTTTGGGAGGCTGAGGCAGGAGGATAACCTGAGGTCGGGAGTTTGAGACCAGCCTGATCCAACATGTAGAAACCCGGTTTCTACTAAAAATACAAAATTAGCTGGGCATGGCGGCACATGCCTGTAATCCTAGCTACTAGGGATGCTGAGGCAGGAGAATCGCTTGAACCTGGGAGGAGGAAGTTGCGGTGAGCCAAGGTCGCACCATTGCACTCCAGCCTGGGCAACAAGAGCGAAATTCCATCTCGAAAATAATAAATAAATAAAGTATTGACACATGCTATAAGATGGATGAACTCTGAAAACATTCCAAATGAAAGAAGTCAGTCACAAAGACCATATATTAGTTCATAATTCCATTTACATGAAGTGTGCAGGGCAGACACAGGCACACAGAAAGTAAATTAGTGGTTGCTGAAGCCGGGTGGTGGAATATTTGGAGGTATTGCTAATAAGAATGAAGTTTCTTTTTGAAGTGATGAAAATATTCTACTATGATTGTGACTGTTGCACAACTCTGTTAATATACTAAAACTCCCTGAATTGTACGCATTAAACCAGTTAGTTGTATGAGAATTATCTCTGAATAAAACTGTTACAAAAATATGACAACTAATTTCTTCCTTAAAGATAGCTAAAAACAATGTTATTTTTATTCAGCCTCTTTGAGTACTAGGAAAAGGCCCTAAGAGTCCAACCAACTTACAGTATTTAAGTCCGGTTCCTACTCTTTGCACACATCTTACAACCAAAAAGTATTCGCCTTGCACATCTCCCAGAGACCAGTTTTTCCAGAGTTCCTGGACTATCTATCCTTAGGCCATGTGACTTTTAAGGAAACATAAGCAAAACCTATTGATTCCATTCTGAGAAGACATAAGCATATTATAATGGAAAACTGATGTGAATAATTCCTTAATATGTATCCTTTCGGCTGTAAATCTGGACAAAAACACAAAGGAGAAAAAGAAATCTTGTATAGCCCTGGATATCTGGAATTATTTTTGTGTGCTACACCAAGAAATGGAAAAGTTGTAAACCATTCTGTTTTCTGTATGCTGAGGATCTCCTCAGAGACAAAAACACATTGGCCCGTTTTCTTCTAAGCAAATTGAAATCTCTTCCTTAAACATAGAGCTTAATTAAGACATTGTTCTAAGCTCTTTCTCCTGAAAGCTATCCCTAATGCCTCATTCCCAACCAAAAGTACTTCATTGCCCCTTGTCCCCTGCCCCTATTGGTACTGACGAGCCCCAAGAACCTTACCTTATTTCTTTCATTGTGGCAAAGGGTTTCAGAAAAGGGTTCTTTGAGTTAAAAGTCGGCGTATCCTATTTGACTCCTGCTCTCGGAATGGTTGGCCGAGAGCGTCCCCGTTATCTCCGCATCGGAAAGCTACAAGATAAAGCGCAAGAACACGACACACATCTCAGTAAATCACGTATTTTGGGCCCGACTCTGTCTTCAACATACCTAGGGCACCGCGTTTTATCCCTCTTCCATGCCTCTTCCTCCCGATATCCTCCAAGTGCCAGAGACCGCACCCGCAGACTCATTGGCAGGTTTCCCGATTCGCCTCAATTTTTGTCCTGCCTCTCTGCTTCGCATTTTCAGGCTTGGCCTCATAAGAAGGACGATGACGCCGGATTGTGCCAGAATGGGTGAAAACCGGAGGAAAACGAACCAGTTGCGGTAAAACCCACTATCCTGCCTCCAACCCAGAGGGAGGAGCGGTCAAGTGCACGTCTTCAGGACTAGGCCCTTCCGATTGGCTGCTGCGACAAAACGTGGCCTGTGATTGGCTACAGTGCCGGCGCAGGGCCTTCGGAGAGGAAGTGTGGGAGTCCCGCGCCTCTAAAGCCCGCCTTTCCTGTCAAATAAAGGTCGCAGCCGCCGCGTCAACGGGCGGAGCTAAAGTGATCGTGATTCATGCAGTTCGGGGACCCCGAAGGTGGGGCCCCACGTAACAAGAAGATGACCCGAAGTTGCTCCGCAGTGGGCTGCAGCACCCGTGACACCGTGCTCAGCCGGGAGCGCGGCCTCTCCTTCCACCAGTGCGTATGGCAGCAACCTCGGAGCCCTCGAACTCCCTGCGGGGCCTGGGAGGCCGCGGCGCGGTGTGGGGCGGGGCGGGGTCTGACAGGCCGTGGCGCGGCGTGGGGCGGGGCAGGGCCGTACTGTGGGTCGCGCCCTGGGTGTGACGCGACATGACGTGCACAGCGTAGGGGCGTGGGAGCGGAATTGGGGCACTCTGAGTTGAGGTTCTGTCTCCCCGCTCAGTATTTACCTCTGAGTAGCCGATTCTTACTCCGTCAACCGCTTTAGCGAGAGCTCCTCGAAAGGAGCCCTCTATTAATTTGATGGTCTTATTATTTAAAGTGAGGAGGCCGGAAGGGAAGGCAGTTTGGGACAAAGGTTGAAGTGTGTGGCGTCTTTCTGAGCACGAGGACAGATCAGTTTTCTCCTGTACTGTCTGACATTGCAAGTTCTTAAGTGCTATTAGCCGAGCTCTACAAGGCCGGTCCGATTCTGACTGGATTTGATCAAGGCAGGGAGGTTTCATTTGGCTCAACAGTGGGGAAGAATTTCAGACCAGTCTTACCTGAACTCATATCCATGGTTCAGACTGGTATAGGTCATTCAAATCAGTATTCAGGGTATACTGGCAAGTAGAAAAGTGGGTAAAATAGATCCTCACAGACAGAATGAGATGGGCTTCAAAAAGAAACAGTCTGTTAAGATAGTAATAAGATGTAGAGAGTTAATGACAAAGCAGTTTTATGGAAAGATCGAAAAGAACTTCACGGTGGAAAGGGAATAGAAAGTGGGTAGCACTTTAGGAGTGGCATGGAAAAATAAATGTAAAGGGTGGAAAGTGCAAATATAGAGGAGTGGAAAAGTACCTGAGAGACAAAGCCTTTCAAAAATTTAAATGCCATGTTAAGGAGCGTGGACTATGTATGGTAAGCTATGTATCAAATTCATTAATTTTTTTTTAATAGGGCTGATTCCTTCACCTAAATTGTTAACGGTGTGAACCAACTCATTGTGTATCTGAGATGATAATTGATTGGAGATTTTTCTTATGATAGAGGTAGCTTTAAACTAGGGAGACATGAATTCCAATTTTAATTATTTACTGATGTCTGTACTTGGCTCTGGGTCTTGGTTTCATCTTCTGTAAGAGGAATAAAAACCTGCCTTGTAGAGCTTTCGTAAAACCAAAACGTATAAGTCTTTACAGCATACATACAGCACAACGTAAATGCTTTAAAAGTGGTATTACCAATTTAATTTTGTCACGACCTCAAAACTAGTTATGCTAGTTAGACTACAGCCTCTGTCTCCCAGGCTCAAGCGATCCTCCCACTTCAGCCTTATGAGACTACAGGCACAGACCACCACCATGGCTAATTTTTATTTTTATTTTTAGTAGAGATGAGGTCTCAGTATGTTGCCCAAGTTGGTCACCAACTCCTGGGCTCAGATTACAGGCATGAGCCACCCCACCCGGGCCCAACCTTTTTGGTAACATTTTACGCATAGGAAATAATTGTTTAATACTTTGGGGCAAAACTACAGCACTGTTTGGGGCTGCCTTGAAGTAACTACTCAGGTGTCCCAGGCCACCCCATGGGCTAAGAAGGTCAACAGCTGTACTCGCTAGGCATAACAGTTGGGAAGCTTTGCATCAGAAGACCATGTTAGTAATAAAAGTTGATGGACCAACCAGCTTTTGAGGGTTCCTTGCCCGTTTAGAGACTATACCCAATCTGTGGAAAAGCTGCTTTGCAAATATGTGCCATGAGTTAGAAAAGAACTCAGTGAAAAGAGTTATTTTGGAAAAAGATTTGCCCCAACCTTATTGGAAAAAGAATTCCCTGTACATTTTCTCTTGATCAAGTATCATCATCTTTCTAGAACAATAAAATTATAATCACAGAAATAGAAACAGTTGTTCCTAGAAAAGACCAAACTTTGGATATTACTTTACAGTTTAAAAGGTAATTTTGAATACATTTGTAGCCTCGTACACTCTGACTACACCCCATGAGGAAGTTCAAAGATTGAGAGTTGTATCTAGTGCGGTAAAGCTGGTCAAAGGTCATTGAAGCTTAAATACAGATTTTCCAATTCAGTGTTCTTTCTCAAGGTGATTGAGTATCTCAGAATTATGTTTTACCATACTACTATATTTCTCTAGCAATTAGCTGAGAAAATGTTTTTACCAATCTCAGTTCTAATAACTATGTGCTTTAAAGCCTAAATTAAAATACACAGAAAACATAGTTACCTATAAATCTGTCTCTCTAAGATAAGTCAAAGAAAAGGGGGCAGAAAGAGTAGTTTTGTGACTTTTTCTTCTTCTTTGTTCGATGGGAGACCACCAACTTCTGTGATTTTTATTGTGTTAATTTCACAAGTTT